GACATCTTGTACACACGCAACCTGTTGGCACAGCAGACTAAGTCGCGTATAAAAGACAACCAGACTTCCATGATTTGCGCGTGCGTTGCTTGAGAGAATCATTCCCGATCTCAAGTGAAAACACAACACTGCAGTGCGACGTCGTATCGCAGAAATCAACGACGTCGTGGAAATTTGCGATGCGTCGTCGCACCGCAGTGTTGTGGGTTCGCCCAGGATTTGTACTAAGCGACGTCGCATTGCAAATTTCTACGACGTCGTTGATTTCTGCGATGCGACGTCGCACCGCTGTGTTGTGTTTTCACCGTTAGTGTTTCCTCTACTTCTATTGGAGAAGTTGAATATTTATTGATAAAACTGCTTATGCTTATCAATAAGTCTATTTCCAACTTTTTTTTAGGATTTTCTGGTACTTTGTTACAGACCTTGATGAAATCTTAAGTTATTTTATTATCATAATTATTTTGTTAATATTGATTACCGTCCGCATAAAACAAGTAACAGAGATCTTTTATTATATATATTTATTTTATATATATTTTATAGATATATTTCTATTTTATAGATATATTTCTATTATTTATAAATATATGAAAGATTAAGTAATTTAGTTCAATTATTAATCTATGGCCGTTTTAATCATTTTCTTTTTTGGAAACATAGTTTTAAGATTATGAGAAAGCGATTCACAGACTCGGAATATTTTATAAACATTTGTTTATATCAAATAACGCAGGAATTTGTTTAATCGTATTTCGCTAAGGGGTTTTTCAATTTAAGTTTTATGATACTATACATCGATTGGATTCTAGTGTCACTCGTTGAGGATAAAATCCAATCCCAATGTTATAGTTAGGAAACACTACTAGCCAGATTTTTAGTGTCACTAGTTCGAGGATAGAATCTGACCAAGTAGTCCGCTAGTTAAAACACGTTTTACCCTAGTAGGGGACAAGGGCTAGCCTAGCTGTATACTCGCGATTAGACATTTTTTAAGTAACCATCAGTTGATATCCTGCCGTAGTGTCAAGCTTGTATACCGTAACTACTGGTACCTGAACCGTTTTGCACACACCGCCTGCTGTAATACCGCTTCAGTATTAGCCGCTTTAAACACATTAACGGCTTGCTAGATATCAGTTGGAACAGTAGTTTCCGTAACTTAGCTGCATTTGATTCACCTGCTTGTATTATCATTATACATTTCAGTAGTAATAGATTCCGTTTCTTAGCCGCATTTGATATACCTGCTTGCACTATTACCCCCTTTTGCTTAGTTTATTAGCTTGCTTTTTCTGTTACCTGTAGTGTAAGTGAAGTTAAAATTCTGTCTTTTATTTAGAACATAAGTAATAAATCTGGTCATACATCGAGAATCATTTGAAGTTGTCCATTTCTAGTTATCCCAGCTTCTATCAAACCGCTGATAGATAAAGTGGTGTTCTTACACTTTAAAATAGGAACTAATGCTCGAGATCGTACCGTAAATAAAAATTCAAAGTACCGCTGCTGTACTAAAAGGTGCCACAAAGTGACAGTGACACGCAACATTAGCCATTTTTGTTGTTGTTTGTTAGGTCACAATTAGCGCATTCAGATAAGAATGACAGTATAAAATATAAAAAACTATAGGTATTTATTATTGTTATCATGTTTGAAAGTATAATAATTATTTTATAATATTTTTCTAGAAATGTTGTTTGGGTATGTTTCGGTAAATATATTATATACTCTCGGAATTTAATCTATCCAGAAAATGCATTTTTTATAAGCAGAAAATAATATTCTTATATCAACAATACAACGCTTTTAATTTTCTAATGCCAGAGCTCACGGTGTTTATAATGTGGAAAATTGGATCGAAATTATAGCAATTATCCAATTTGTTATTTAATACAAGATAATCGTTTGTGTATTATTTAGTTTAAAATGTTAAACAATTTTGTATCAAACACTATTCTAATTTATTTGTTCTTTAAAAAATAAATGTTTTTACGCGTTTGAAGAGCAATTATGTCTTTAAAAGGTAAATTGACGTATATAATTGCAGTAAATACGATTAATATCCCATTGTCCACAGTGAAAGCTGTGAGTAAAGGAAAAATTGTTGCTTGACTAATTTTATTTATTTATTTATTTGCATTTAGCAAATGCATTTAATTTAATACTACTGTATTTTCCTGTTTTTTCTTTGGTATGCGGGGCTCTTATTTACGTTCCGTCCAGACTATTTACGTCACTGACCATTTGCTTAAAACAACTAATAAGTGCATCATTCGAAAAAGAAAAATAAGATGTATAGTAGTTACGCACAATTTCCAATAATTATTTGAAGACCACAGGCTAAAACGGATGAGTGTCCAAAATATCGCTTTTTTAGATAGACTTGCCAAAGCACGGACAAAATACGTTACTTGCTGCCTGCTTTATCGTACAGAACAAAAAAAATGAGAGCGATAAGTAAAACGCATTTTAATATTAGCCCTACAGGGGAAAAAGATGAAGGTCCAGCATATGTACGAAAAAAAAGATGAGAGTCCAACCGTGTTCGCGTTAATCCCCACTTATAGTTTTTGTCACGCCGTCGTTGCGAATAACAATATTCTTTGTGTTCTGTGAGTGGCTGCGGTTAGTAAAATATTTATTTGTCTTCTTGTTTTACGTGGAGATTAGTTCCATGTGTCTTTATTGTCGTGCCGGATCTCTCCGAAAATGTCTGTTTCAAAGAAAAGGCTGAGGTTTGGAAGTGTTTTTGCTGCTTCAAAAAAATTTAGGGTGCAAAGCCATGAAACTGGTGATAGTTGCAATTGTTCAAAATTAAAATGTTTTGAAGTTATTGATGTGAGGGACCGTTTGACGATCATTAAGCATTTCAATGAACTTAAATCGCACAACGAGCAGTCTTTATTTGGGTGGACTTATTACATTCGAGCTAGTGAAAAGGCATCGTAAAAGGAAAGTTAACGACGAAGATGTAAACTATCACTCCTCCTATAAATATAAGGTAAAACAAATACTTTATTTCTTTAAAATGTTCTTTTTTAAAAAAACCTTTTGTGGTTTTAAGGTTCGAGTTGTGCAAGGAAACGGTACAAAAGAAATACCTGTTTGCTACAAGGCAATGCTCTCTTTGCATGGAATTTCTGCGAAACGCCTTCAAAACATTCAAAAAAGGCTTGTTACAAATGGACACGTTGGTCGAGATGGTCGAGATCTACATATCAATCGACCAAAGAGTTTACTACAAGCGACAGCAGATGCAGTTTACATGTACATTAAGTCATTTAAAGGTAGGCAATCACATCATAGTCTACATAAGTCTAAAAAGACTTACCTACCAGACGATCTGGTTGTTTAACATGTTTAAAGATTTGCACCCAGAAAAAGTAATATCGTATGAGTCTTATCGTTCTATTTTTGTAAAAAAAGTCAACATTAGTTTTGGTTATCCGCAAAGTGATACATGTAGCACTTGTGATGAATATAAAGTTAAAAAAGGCAGATGCTGCACAGGTTTGTAACTCAGCCGAGTTAAATGTGAACAACCGACTTCATCTTAAAAAAGGCGGAAGCTTTTTTATGAGCGAAAATGTTCCGAACGCAAAACAGCTCAAAAAAACAAGCATATTGAATCTATCGCAATGGATTATCAGAAGAATTTGGCATTACCGAATATTACCACGAACGATGTTTACTACAAGCGGCAGTTGTCATTTTACCTATTCAATATCCACGTATTAGCCACTGGTGAAGCACTTTTTACACCTACACACAAACAGCAGCAAAAAAAGGATCAGACGAAGTCGTCTCGCTTTTGTTTCACTACATTCATAATGAGTTAGACCCAGCAGTACAAGAACTTGTGAATTTTTGCGATTCGTGCTGCGGACAAAATAAAAACTATACCTTATTCTGAATGCTTCATTACATAGTTCATAAAGTAGGCCGACTCCAATGTGTTAAAATGGTCTTTCCAATCCGAGGACACAGCTATATGGAATGCGATAGAAATATGGGATTAATCAATAGCAAAGCACTGGTTGAACTTCCTTCGGAATGGGATGAACAATTTCGTAACGCACGCGTAAAACCCAGCCCTTACAAAGTTGTAAGCTGCGAAGACCAGAACATTTTTCTAAAATTGACTGATCATTTAAAAAAGTATTATGTTTTAAAGTGTCCCTTCGAAAGTCGTCCAATTAGGGAATTAATAATAAAAAAGGAAGACCCCCGAATGATGCATCACCGAGATTCTTACAATGGAGCTTTTACGTCAAGTATAACAGTGCCATCAAAGAAAAAAAGAACTATAACAAGACAAAAACTCACAAATCGGCCGTAATTCCTTTATTGCCCGACCTACCTTCTAGACAACTTGAACTCCCAGATCTTAAATATGACTATAGAATTCCTGTTACTGCTAAGAGGTACCGAAACTTGCAGGATCTGAAGCGCTTTTGCAGTGTAGAAGCTCAAGTATATTTTGGAAATTTACCGACCATGTAGTTATCTTCAATAAACAATATTAATTTGTGCATCTTCATCTTTTTTCACCTGAATTTATGTACTTAACCCCCTTTTAGCTATCCTCTACGCCAATGATCAAAAACTATTAATCTAAAATATTTAACTTAATACTAAATACCCATAGGTACCTTAAAAAAAACTTGTTCTTAATTTTAAAATCAATTTTTCTCGAAATTATTGCTTTGTCACTCTCATCTTTTTAACATGTACTCCTCATTTACTATAGTCATTCCTGAGAAAAAATTAAAAACCCTTAAGTTATGAATTTTCACACCATGTATATAGCTAGTAAAGTATTGATTTGCTCACTATTGTTTAAATATTGTTTCACATGGACTCCATTTTAGTCTACGTTGATGAGGAACCCATTCTTAAAGCTTTTAAACGACCCTTATTAACACCTGTACCTGTTCATTAGAGGCAGTATTTTCAAATAATTGCATATATGTAGACACTCGACAATAAAAAAAATAGGGCTCATGTAGGGTTCGAACCTACGACCTCCGCATTTCGAAATGGAGCGCGGCGCTCTAACCAACTGAGCTAACGAGCCTCTCTTTGAATTATGCTGTTAATTCGTGTCAAATACGGTAATAGGTAGATGAGTCACCAAAAAGATTAAATACCAATCAACAAGCAATAAAGATATCTATTACTAATGCTAAATGAAATAAAAATATAAACTTATATTTGCCACACATGGTGCCTCCAAAATTATTAATAACAATAATAATAATAATAATTATAAGATCAAACTTATTGTCAAATAATGTATCACAAATAAAAAAAATCGACTGAAGAGTCAACCTCAGGGGAATATTGGCCTATTTAAAGAATATGATAATATAATATAAATAACATAATAGCATAGTGGTAGGTAACTAGTGTAGTAGCGTTTTATTTAAATTTGGAGGTCAATTTCCTTAAAATTTTTTAGGAAACGGAATTTCTTACTTCTTTTGTCGTCCAGAATTGATTGATAATAAAAAGGATAATATGGAATCCACATTAGAGAGAAAAAATGCATTGAGTTGGTCACAATTAATATGATACATTCGGGCCAAATGAATGGAACAAATAAATCATAAAGGCCTCGAAAGCATATCTGAATATCTAATGTATAATGTACAGAGTGTTTCCTAAATAAGTATCAGTAATTCAAAAGGTAATTCCTCGAGTTATTTCTTGAAAAAAATTCGCATGAACATATGTCTTAAAATGCACCGTTGCCAAGATACAGAGTGTTGAAGTATCCCTGAAACAACATTTTTTTGGAATGCCGATTCTCCAGATGGATATATTAAGATGAAATTCTGTACAGCTACTGAATTTTGGATTAAAATTATTTTGATCACTGACAATTTAAAATTACCATTGACGTAATTATGGCTAAAAATTTATATCGAAATTTTCACAGCGAGGGAGCCTTTTCTGAATTCGAGTCAATTTTATGAAAAACAATTTTATTCTAACCAAAAAAAGGTTATTTTGTTGTATCTTGACAATGCATCGAGCTCGAGGAATACGAGAAAAAAGATAAAATGTATGATTCTGCAAATATTTGACATATGAATAATAATAATAATAATACCGAGTGGCTGGCAGGCCAAATGCAGAAGGCGGTCATTCTAGGTTCTCTCCGTCTGCTTAGGGCACATGATTCTGGTATCTACAGTCACTAACCCTGCGGGATGTGGGGAGTGGCTGTAGTTGATACGCCGGCGCGACTCCCGTGAGGCGTAGGAGGCCACGGGAGGACTGACCGGCATCGGGAAACCGAAAAAAAAAAAAGAAGAAGAAGTGTGCCCGGCAATCAGTACGGAGGAAGTCCAACAAGCACTTGTTGATACCAAGAACTTCGCTGCCCCGGGCCCAGACGGCATTAACAACTGGTGGTGGAAGAAATTTCCTTCCACTCACCGCCGTCTGGCGCGAGTTTTCAACTCATGGTTGAACGAGGGGCAGCAGATTCCGTACTGGTTTGTCGAGTGACGTACTGTGCTTATCCCCAAAAAAGGGGGATCTTTCAGACCCGAGGAATTATAAGCCGATCACTTGCCTTAACTCCTGCTGCAAGATATTTACACGTATCTTGTATGCTAGGACACTGAGGTCTGTTGAGCCGGTCTTCCAGCAGATACACGAACAGCGTGGTGCCAAGAAGGGCATGGCAGGTTGCAAGGACAGCCTGCTGATAGACCGCTGTATTACACAGGATTCTGTGCAATACAAGCGGAATCTCTCGGTGGCCTGGATTGATTACCCCAAAGCATTTGATACAACATCACGTGAGCTATTGTTGTACTTGCTCGAATGTCTTGCGGTACCAGCATCACTAGTGAGATGCATAGAACAACTGCTAACGCTCTGGAAGACCAGCTTCATCATAACATCAGGTGCACAGCGGGTCACGACAGAGCAGGTGGCATTTAGGAGAGGAGTTTCCAGGGTGACTCCCTGAGTCCTTTCCTCTTCTGCATCTCACTGTTGCCGTTGTCTGTTGGGCTCCGCCAAACCCGCAGATATCAATGTGGGTCACCCAGCGATCGGAAGCATAAGGTCACCCATCTATTTTATATGGATGACCTTAAACTTTATGCCTCCGGAGAGCGCGAACTACAAAACGCTCTTAGGGTGGTCGAAGTATATACGCGGGCAATTGGTATGGAGTTCGGGTTGGATAAATGTGCAGTCGTCCACCTCAAGAGAGGACGATGCGGGGAATTCCCTGCGGATGCGCAGCTCGCAGACGGAAGCATCCTAAGACATCTGGATGCCGGAGAGACGTATACGTATCTGGGTGTGCAACAAAGGCACATCCAGGATGTATCACAAATAAAAAGATTCTCTCCGCGGCAAGTACAGACACCGCCTGCGAAAGATTTGGTCTTCCGAACTTCCGGGGAAGAACAAGGTGTCTGCAACTAATATGCTTGCCGTTCCGGTTCTGCTCTACTCCTTCGGAGTAGTAAAGTGGATAGTAGAGGAGCTGCGCGAATTAGATAGGGATACCCGCAAGATGATGAATATTCACAGAAGTATTCATCCTAGATCGTCCGTTCCTCGTGTGTACCTCCCACGTCAATGGTGGGGCCGAGGACTCTTGAGCCTGGAGTGTACGCATGGCAGAGTAGTACTGAGTATGGCATGTAATATACTCAGGAGCTCAGATCCCCTCTTCAAGGCAGCAAAAAGAGCCGCAGATGAACTTGTCTCGCATTTGACATCAGGCGAGGAGGCCGGCGAGGTGCTGATGTAGAGTCAGCCACCGAACTTCAGCCAAATCGTCTGAAAGCCCGAATCAGAGCCGAATCATGCCCTATATAAGCGATTTCGGCCTACATCCACCGGCATAACGCGGCGTTACGAGTGCTATACTACCATCTAAGGCACTCGTACGGGGTAGACCAGACACCAGTGCTGCCTTACGTCCCCGGAGATATTGAGTCCGTTGTCGAGAACGAGAAATGCCGGATTTACTGGAACTACTCGTTCCCGACTGTCAGGCTAATCCAAGCCAACAAGCCTGACATAGTCCTCCTCGACCATCAACTCAAGGTGATGTATGTCATCGAGTTCTCGGCACCTGCGGAGAAAAACATCACCTTGAAGGAGGAGGAGAAACGGACAAAATACCGTGATCTCCGGTACGAGCTCCAAGTGCTGTACCCAGGCTACTCGGTAAAAATGGTCGTCCTTATAATCGGTGTACTCGGAGGGATAAAGCCTATGCTGCTCTCGGAACTGAAGACCATACCGGCCTGCCAAAGTTCAGCTGAGTGGCTGGCAGGCCAAATGCAGAAGGCGGTCATTCTTGGTTCTCTCCGTCTGCTTAGGGCACACGATTCCGGAACCTACAGTCACTAACCCTGCGGGATGTGGGGAGTGGCTGAGGTTAATGTGCTGGCGTGTCTCCCGTGAGGCGTCGGAGGCCACGGGAGAACTGTCCAGAGTCGGGCAACAGAAAAAAAATTATTTCCTTCTGGCTTTTACAAAGCATTGGAATTGTCAATATACAAGTGTAAAACACAAAACATAGATATTAATAACAATACAGTAAAATAAATAAATGTGTATAAGGTTAAATAAATGAGTATAATGTTAATACAGGATATGTCAATCATTATATTTAAGAAATTCAGTTAGCGAATAAAAACTTTGCCCAGTTAAAAATTTCTTGATTAGCGACTTAAATTGATTGAGGCTATTACAGTTTTTAAATCTTCGCAGTAAGTGGTTATATATTTTTATAGACATTATTTTAGGTTGCCAACCTGTGTTAGTCTAAATGGTGGAACATATATATTGTTAGCTATCCTAGTGTTGTAACTATTGACATCACCACACCTTTGTAGAGAATAAGATTTTTCCATACATAACATAAGGCTTGAGAAATGTAAATACAAGTCAGTAAGAGTATTATGCTCTTTGAATACCGGACGACAAGAGGCTAGATAAGGCATATTGAAGATGTTTCGAATAATGCGTTTCTGCATAATGAATATTTTATCGACGTCGGTGCTGTTTCCCCAGCATAATATCCCATAGCAGATTAAAGAGTGAATACACCCGAGTATTATATTTTTTAATAAATTTATGTCAGTTGAAGATCTGAGTTGGATAACTGAGTAATTTCTTGCAGCTAAGGACAGATAGATTATTAATGTGCGTGCTCCATGTTAGATTGGTGTCCATCCACATCCAAAAACTTAACGCAGTCACTATGGGCCATGCAAATTCCGTCAGAATAAGCCAAAATACTACTATCAGGTTTTTTACCAGTAGGCATGAATGTTATTAAATCAGTTTTGTTAGAGTTTAAGGACAGACATGCCCCACTACTCCAAGATTTCATATGCCCAATATTAGAGGTAGCTTTCACGGCTAATGATTCGACATCACTAGCTCGATTACCATGAATACGTCATCCGCAAAATGAGTTATAAAGTTATCAGACTGAACAGCTAAGTCATTTATAAAACTGGAGAAAAGCAGTGAACTCAACACACTGCCCTGTGGTACTCCAGTATTAATGTTAACAATGTCAGATTGGGTTTTGTTACCTTCCTCCTTGATCTATGCCATCTGCTCTCTACCAAAAAGCTATGATTTTAACCAATTGTAAGCAGGGCCTCTTATTCCATAAATAAACAGTTTTTTAGGAGCAATTCATGATTAATTATGTCGAAGGCCCGTGAAAAATCCAACTATTTTTAACTTATCATTAAAGTTTTGCAGGATATATTCGTAGAATGATAATACAGCGTCTTGGGTAGATTTCCCTTTGCGGAAGTCATATTGTTGAGGAGCCAGTAGACCGTACTTATCGAGAAACGAGGTGAGCCTTTTCTCGAAGGCTTTCTCATAAATTGTTGAGAAAACAGAAAGCAGAGCTATTGCTCGGTTATTATCAACTCACTTCGGTCACCTTTTTAAACACGGGCATCACAATGACAGTTTTGAATCATCTTAGAAAAAGCCATGGTCAAAAAATATGTTTATTAGATACACTAGGAGACACAATTGAGTCGATGATCTCCTTTAGCAAGCAAC